CCAACCTTATTTATTTCATTATGCCGCTACTACCTAATTGTACCTAATTTCGGTTGATCTATAAGTAGCCATAAGTAGTGATCGGACTGATACGTATCGATGATACTCGAAAAATTCGATTTCAAAGTAATCAGTGAGAGGTATCAAAAGGTATCAAAATTTTAGATACTTGGTATCAATTATCGATACAGATACCTCTTGATTGATTGAAAGTATCAAACAAGTTCGTTTGATACTTCATGAAATTATTGATACCCATTTGATACTTTACGAAATTGTCAATATTCATTTGATATTTCACTAAAACATTGACGTCCATAATAGCCTTTGCTTTTACATTGAAAGACTACATGGTGGCCCTTGAGCCTGCCTCAAGACCAAAACGACATGAAAATTCCATAGGGCACGTTTTTAAAAGGCCTTGTGAATTTTAGTGAGTAGGCAAGTTTAATATCATGCAATGATTCGGCTTATTTTTAAAAAATTTCTAATTTTCCATACAATTTGTTCCTTCAGAGGGGACAGTCGAGTCTAAGGGGTTAAAAAACACTTTTGTCTACGAGGTAAGGGGATCTTTCTAAGTGGCTACGGCACTGACGATCATCAACAGAGCCCGTGAATCCAGCTGGGCAGCGCACGCCCACGATAGTAGGGTAAACCAATCAGAGAATGACCAAATTGTTGAATTTCTGGACGTTTAAGATTAATACTTGAATGTATTTATTTATAACAACAAAACAGCTATTGCAATTGTTATAAAAATGATTACTTATCCATAACATAATTTTTTTTAAATTATTTATAAAGCGCAACACGTGTAAAGGCCTAATAAATGACTGCTACATTTCTGAAATATTTTTAATAAGAATTGCACTTACTAATGTTTACTTGATACGCTAAACTAAAAATATGGGATATTAAAAGTGCAACAACGCTCCATTTATAAACATTTAATAATTTTTAAATTTATAATTTACATTTCTTGCCTAATGGTCATTCACTGGTATGAAGGCAATTACTGGTTGGTTTACCCTACAACCCAATAGAATCATCCCACAAAGTTTTTGACACCACTAGCCAAAGACTCTGTATAGTTAATACTTATTTTGTTTGCATTGGCACAGCTGAAAATACTAGAACGTTATATTTTTAATGAAAACTCATTTTTACAACTATTTATGTATTTTGTCACGAAAACATTTAGCTTACTGTTCATGTAGATAGTAAATGATTCCAAACTTTTCAGCAGTAATGTATTTAGATTGTTTCGCTAGAAATATCTTTGAATACTTTGTGCGCATACTTATACAAAATTAAAACAGGTGAAATGTGGGATGTGTTATAATAATGTTAAAAAAGTTAATTTTTGTATGCAGTATTTAATACCGTTTGTGTATCATCTGCACAATCAAATAACATGATTATATCATATTTATTATCAGACGATCATATACAATGACTGGTACAGTGCAAAATAATACATCAAATTCGCCCCATTTGGAATTTTTAGCTTTTTAACTCTCGGTATATCCGACAATTATTATTAACAAGAGCAACGATGATGATTTGCTGTATATAGTATATACAGAAATAATTCTAGGCATTTGCGGTTTAACAATTAATGCCGATTTTGACGTTTAAGTACATCTAACGCCTTTACTGATTTTAGCAGCAGACTGTACAGACAAGATGTCCCAAAAATTCCTCAAGACATGCACTAATAAAAATGAAAATGTAATACTATGTAAATTGAATTTCACAACTGTATTACACTATTTCCAGAAATAAATAATTATTTAAAACCTAGCATAAACTTGTACGTGCACGAACGAAATTTCTTTATTTCAGCATTCGAGTAAACGTTGTACTTGCAAACACAATTATAACTTCAGTTCATAAAATTCTTTATAAGTTTCTGTAGTACCATTAATTATTAAATGAATAACTTCGTTATTACAAGTTGCCAATTTACAATACCATTGAACTGAACTTTTGGAACACCTTATATACGCATCTGCAGATCAGAGAATCGTTGTTTCATCCATTCTGGGGGTAGTGATCTACGTTCTTTTATCGCGTCTGTGAACGTCAATAACAAAGCTATTGTATAATACGTAGAGATAAATTTATCTGCACATAATGGTTTCCCTAACGCCTCGATACGATACTCTAAACGCATATATATATTTACATGTTTGCCTTTTCCAAATCAATTACCTAATTCTCTTATTAATTATTTATTTATGCAATCTAGCTTATGTCCGTGTAATCTGTCTATAGAAGAAATCTGATTGCTTTTTGCCTATATACAGTTACTCACAAAATTGACTGTATACAAATATGAAAGGCTTCTTTTACGAGATACAAAAAGAAATATTAAAATAAACAAAACAAATTAGCGCTCAATTGAATTATTGTACGGTAGACTATATTACTAGGAGTAGATTATAAAGAAAAATAAAATTGGGTTTATCCTCATTGATAATTTTAAAGATACGTTTATTACAGGGGTTCTCAAACTTTATTCTTCGCGTACCATTCAAATATTTACACGAACAGTCACGTACCACCAATTAAAATTAAGATGAATACTGCAGTGTTGTGTAGTATTCATCTTTACAGGACGAGTGGTAATCATATCGTACCATAGTCTAAGAAACCCTGGTACATTATACTCGCACAAAATAAACATCTAGCAAAAGCATTTTTAAAGATTTATATTTTTATGGAGTTATTTTACAGTATTATTGCCATGTGTGTTCTCTACAAGATACAATTGAGCATTACTACAATTTCTTACAACTTTATGTCAATTCTCAAAATGACTTCAAAAGGAACAAAAATAAGTATTCATACTATAGAATCAACTGTAAAATTGTATTATAGAGGAGAGTATTTACAATGGCATCATTTGGCAGAAAGTATTTTAATCTTCAAAATGTTGAATAATTTGAACTATATAAACGTGCAAAAGGTTTATGAAAACTGACAAAAAAAGTATTTATCACTTTTTAACATATTTTTCTAAGAAGATATCACAATTCTTATTCATCTAACAGACCACTATTAAGAATATTTTAAAGCATTTTGAAACTTTTAATTAATTATTCAAAACTTTAAATCAATTTAACTGTATACAGAAAAATACCGTAACTGTAAACAGAAAAAACCGTAACTGTTCCGATGAACAAATTTGCAAAAGAAAAAAGGACACGGTTGAGCCATAACGCATGTATGTATAAAATGACCAAATGAAAATGTTGAAAGCTTAACAGAATTAATTTAATTGGTTCTGGGAGTTGCCAAAAATTGTATGAAGACAGTTTACTTATTCAAGTTCTTCTTGTTACGAATATACATTAATTTTGTGAGCAACTATACATCGACGCGTCGATTTTTTTTAAATAATATTAGAATAGCGATAGACAATTACAGTAGCAATATACACACGTACGACGTACAAATCTCTCGTTGAATACCTTCTGAACGATCGTGTGATTCAATTACATATGAATCACATACGACGCATTTTATACAGGGTGTAACAAACGTGTTCCAAGTCCCTGAAATGGGATACTCGTGAGGCGATTTGGAACAAGTTTTTCTTTAGCAACAATGTTATCCAAAGCTTCGTTAACGAGATATTAACGAAAAACACCGACCAATCAGAGCTTGAATCTGCCGGCCGAGTTCCCGCTGTAACGTTGGCTACCAATCACAGCGTGTAGCCAATGTTACCGCGAGAACTCGGTCGGCAAACTCGAGCACTGATTAGTCGGTGTTTTTCGTTAATATCTCGTTAACGAAACCTCGGATAACATTTTTGCTAAGGAAAAACTTGTTCCAAATCGCCTCAATAGTGTCCCATTTCAAGGATCTGCAACATTTTTGTTACACCCTGCATAGCATTTGTTTCAATCATTCATCGTTGAGAAGGCATTCTCTGACAAATTGTTTAGGGTTTAGTATGATACAGCATTATCACGATCCGTGACAAACAGCTTGCAAACTATTGTCACTTAAAAATAACGTTACTACCTCTTAACAAAAGATAGCTTAATTCTGATCGTACATTTCATATTTACAGAAATTAGTTTCCCTAAAATTGCAACGAAAAATTCTATGATGAGAAAATTAAAAGTGGAGGCAAATATTAGGTAGACTCTTTATAATAAAATTGTTCGTTAATCAAAGTATTCACTGTAGTTCTCTTCATGAAAATCGCTCAGATTTTCTTACCGCCACATTGATCGCTCTATCATGATTATTGCACTAAGTCATAAACTAAAAGAATGTAGTTAAATTATTTAAACATGTTGCCCTTCATTTCCTTCCCATCAATTCTAAAATGCTCTACTTATCATGACATGGAAAAGAGTGCTCGAAGAAATTTTTTTACTCTCTTTTAGGTAACTCCTTTCTTTTTTAGTGAAAAATTAAAAATCAGGAATAGAACATATCAATTAATATGTACATGAAGGGAATTAACCTCTTTATCGCTATACTAGTTACGCGAATCACCCTTCAAATCCATCGAAACCAATCTCGCATGGCACAGTACTCAAGGTTACTCCCTTGCGTAGGATACAAGCTTTATTAAATATTAAACACACTCGTACATACACTCATCTCTTTTTCGTCGCATCACATTTGCATATATTATGCATCATTATTTTTCAATAACACCGAATCTCGACTGTGTGTTTCTTTGTTAAAATTACATTGCCCGTGTACATTCAGGGACGTATCATTCCTTTCTTTGGTCGTCTCGAGAGAATTTGGTTATTCTACTGACACCACGTCGCAGAAATTATTAATTCGTTCTTCTATACGAAATAATTCTCGAAAAATAGTCTTTTCGTACGAGAATCAAAATTAACCAGAAAAACGACAAATGACCCGAAGAATAAAGAGTTCACATTCTGATTTTAAACCAAACATTGGTGCCTTGCCCTCAGCGTTTCCCCTTAATGACTAATAACGCTGAGAATTATCAAGTACCGTGGATGTGTAAGTATTTATGAAAATAATTTTACAACAATTCCATCTCTGTTAGTCATCTGCGTGATTCGGACGCATACGCTGTGATAGTGTTGTCCACACATCCAGCTGCTAGAACTACACGATAAGGGTGAAAGCTTAAACAACTTACTGGACTGATACGTGTAGCCATAAATCCTTCATGGAATTTTATTGTATTTAAATGATGACCCGTTGTGTTATATATACTTATACAGTGATTCGTCGACCCACTGAAATAAGAACAATAAATAATATTATAAACTCGTATTGTTGCACGTCAAACTTTGGATGTACAAGAAAATATGAAACGAGAGAATTCAGACAAAAATCCTTTGTTGCTTAATGTTAAAACTCTTCATCGATTACTTACTTCTACTTTCAACTAAATGTAATAAAAAATAGAAGTACATCAAACAGTAAAAGTGAACATTAAAAATATTTTGTGTTATTAACGCATTTCTTATTTCATTTGCTAACATAATGTGATATTATAAAATTATTAAATTTTGAATTCAGGATATATTGATTTTAATAAAAAAACCTGACAGATCTATACATGTTTTTTTATCCTTGTATTGAAGATTAACATTTTTTATGTTAAATAAATTCATTTAAATGAAATGCTGTATTTGTTTTTATTTAACAAATCTAAAAAATAAGTTTGTCAATAGTATCCATTATATACTTAAATATCCTTAATGGAGTAATTTATGAGATTTTCTACTATTTCTTGTAATGAACGATACATCATTTTGAACGATACTTATTGATAGTATATTAAAAAAAATTAAACAATGGCATTTAGAAACTTAGGAATTAATTGTTAAAGGAAATACAATGTATTCGAGACTTACCAAGCAAAAATATCAGCCACTTCATGCGCTGCCAATGCTGTAATACCTTGCGTTATCTGTACAGTGCTTACAGACGAATTTTTCCTAAGATCAAATATTCTAATGTCCCCTGACGATGACCCAGTGAACAGTTGTGGCGCCGATCTCTCAGATTTTCTCAAAGATGTCTCCAACACCCATGCTGTGTGCTCTCTCCAGATCATAACTCTTGACTCTAATGGAGGTAATCTTCGATCGAATAAACGAACGGAACCGTCACCGCAGCCCACTGCCATCATTGCACCTGTACATATTTTCAAACATCTTGTTCCTTCAATTTTCTTTAAACTGCACGTAGTAATTAAGGGGTCATGCTCAGTCAGAAATTTTCAAAAAATCGATTTTTCACTTTCTATATTTTCTTTAAGTACAACATCTCGAGAATATTCTATGCAAGTTTCAAGGTAATCCAATTAAAAGTGACATAGTTACAGGCGTTAAAAAATGAAGATTTTATATAAGTGTAAGCTTGACTTGAAACTTTAAACGCGTTTTTCTCGAAACTACATTTTTCAAAGCGGTGATCAATATTTCTCGAAAACTACTTTGTCGATTTACATGAAACCTTTTGCGCCTTATTTCAAATCAGAAAAACTTGTCCTTGAACGAAGGACTTTTCTTTTCGTTCCATACTTTTTTTTAATTGACCAAAAACGAGTGATTTTTAGGTGAAAATCGCACTTTTTCAGGAAAATATTTGCCATTTTGTTCCTAATCAATATTTCGAAAAACCCCACGTTCCTGAACAAGATTGGTTCTTCCATTACATAAATCTTACTGAATTTTTAATTTCAAATGAACCGTTACGAAGTTACAATGATCACAGCAGACCACTTTTTGTGAAGAGACATCCGGGAGATCGCTCACCATTTATTTACTAATAAATATTTTTAAATTAAAAAATTACCTTATTTACATTTATTACATTTTTTTAAAACGGTCTTATAGTTTTTGAGAAAAAAATTCCCAAAGAACACTCTTTTTTCCGCCTACTGACCCTTTAATAGTCTCTAGACTAGCAAAAAGACTCGATAGACACAAGTTACATGGTTTTAAGGAACAAACTTAGTAAACAGAATTTTCTCTTCAGATTATTTTCTATGAATATACTGAGATTAAATTATTCAAACGTTATATCGAATATTTAATACAACCAATATAAGTTTACCATTTAGGATTTTGTTTTTCTAATTGTACATTTTAAAATTCACAGCCATTTCAACGAATCATATTATATAATAATAAAAATATATCTATTGGTAATCGTAATAATATGGAAATATTCGACTTAAGAAAAAGAATTACATATGGTTTATCAAGTTCATAACCTCTAGAACCATATTACTTGTGTCTTATACATTTTTTATGAAATTTAAAATTCAACAGATATATCAAGGTGTTCTGTTTAGACTGTATTGCGGAAAAAATGTATAATTGTAATACGGATATCTAAATAAAAGACTGTATAAATTGAACACACATATAATTGACACGTTCATAGGATTTTTTCTTTAAATTTGTTTTCTTACCAAACATGCCAACATGTAGTTAGTTGTATTGTAATAGAGCAAATGCAATATAACTTTATTTTTATTTTTATTGTAAAATGTGTCTTTAGTAAATGTAACGTAGAATGTACGAATGACTGACCTACACCATCAACATCAATGCACGTAGCACAGCAATCAGCACCTGTAGGTATGTCTTGTTTCTTTAATTCAGTCTCTGCGTCCCAGAGCCTAACAATGCGAACGTCACCCGTCACAGCTAGAGTAAGCGATTTCTGTTCCCACTTGGTAACTAAACCAGCTGTTGCTGCAAAAAGTTTTAATTAACGCACCAAGTTATAGAATGCATAGTTAATTATTTTCGGACATAATGTAACGTAAACATGAAAAAAATACAACACATGAAAAGAAAGACAGCTACGTTTCAACATACAATACATATTATTGTCAGTGTTATTCACTTATCATACAATATATTTCTTCTGTATGTAACGAAAGTTATTTATAATCCAAAAGAATACCTTCTGTTTATTCGGTGCAAGAAAAAGGAAAATGTATTTACTCATCTAGTACTAACAAATTTGTTTAAAATAGTATATGTATTTTTCATTACAAGACTAGTATAAGAAATAAAATAGTAAAAGAAAAATGTCAGTCACTTATCATATCTAAAGCAGACATGGAAAATCATCAAATTTATTGATGATATTGAATATATACTTTCTAGAGAATATTTAAGTTAAATAGTTAATATTTAACGTTAGTATAGAATCACGAAACGCGTAACTTCTATGAAACATCGCTTCTTTTTCAGTTCTATAAAAAGTGTGTAATATCATATATATATATAGTAAAAATATTGTAATACCATAGCATTTGGAAAAAAGGTTGTAGAAATACAAAATTTTCGTATGTTTCGTACAATGCTTATATCACTATTATATCCGGTAAATCTCATATACGTTGTAAATTAATTTTAGTAATTACAAATATATAACTTGCAGCAGTCACGGAAAAAGTTTGTATTCTAGTCCTTAGTACCTACAGTTTAATATTTACCAATACAGTAGTTACTATTGGGTGGAGGTGACAAAGGTTAAATACCATGTAGCTTTAATGAAATATTGTAAACAGAAGTTTTAAATATCGATTCACAAATGACGTTTGTAGTCTGAGATTCAGGCCGCTTCTAGGTATGTTAGGGTCCCTTACGGCGGTTACATGAATAGACGATCCCAATAGACCATTAATTTTACGAGGACACAATACTACAATATGCAGGGTGCGGCAATAACTATGTCCACTTTGAATATTGCCGTTATTTGCAATAATATGAAAAAATTATATATACAAAACTTACACGGTATAGAGGGTGGCATATTGTGACACAAACATTTTTTGCGTGGATTAAGGCATAGAGGAGATATCAAGGTCATCTGTATTTTTTTTAATGGAATGCTATGTTTTGTTTATCGCGCTGTGATAGTGGGCGTTGAGACGACTTCAGCGAGCTATCATTGAAGGTCTTGCAAGGTCAAATGTGGTAGTAAAATAAACTTTCTTACATTACAGGAGATGCTCGAAGTGGTGACCGTTTGCGTCAATGCAAAGTTGCAATCTTCGTATCGCTGCATCACGTGCATGTCTTATCGTTTCTGAACTTATTCTAGCACATGCTGTATTATTTCATAGCGGACATTATTAGAAAATGCACATTATGCTCGGAGAGTAATAGATGCACTGAACGAACTTTACCCAAATAAATGGATAGGACGTGGAGGATTAGTTTCTTGGCCACCTCGTTCTCTAGATTTAACCCCATTAGATTTTTTTCTCTGGGGAGCATTGAAAAATGCTGTTTATCAAGAAGTACCCACTACACCAGAAAATATGAAGCAACGGATAATTGCAGCAGGTGCTAAAATAAGTTCAGAAACGATAAGACCTGCACGTGATGCAGCGATAAGAAGATTGCAACTTTGCATTGACGCAAACGGTCACCACTTCGAGCATCTCTTGTAGTGTAAGAAAGTATATTGTACTACCACATTTGACCTTGCAAGACCTTCAATGATAGTTCGCTGAAGTCGTCTCAACACCGGCTATCACATCGCGATAAAAAAAAACATAGCATTCCATTAAAAAAATAGAGATGACCTTGAAATCTCCTCTATGCCTTCACCTACGCAGAAAATGTTTGTGTCACAATATGCCACCCTCTATACCGTGTAAGTTTTGTACATAACATTTTTTCATATTATTACAAATAACGGCAATATTCAAAGTGGACATAGTTATTGCCCCACCCTGTATATACAAGAGACAGCAAGATAAGTTTTAAATTCATATCTGATTTTTAAATAACATCCCGAACGTGCCCTAATTATTCGTTGTTTGCATTGCATTACCCCTTTTAGAAGAAAACGGCTACGCACCGGTCGTGGTCTTCGTCGCTGGTTGTATGTCAGCCAGTGCTTGCCAAGCGGTAAGTAAAATTGGATCACGGCTTAGCGTGCTGCTATAATTTTTCCAAATTCTAACCGAGCCATCGTCAGATCCAGTCATCAACAAAGTAACATCGTGGGCGTTGATAAACTCGAGAGCTGTAACGCGCGATGCCTTGTTCCCGCGACTTGGGCAATAAGTTAACTTTGTACCAGTCTGAAAATCCCACACTCTATAGGCAAATAATTATATTAATAGAGCTGCTTTCGACAGAATCGTGGTGTTACAATAAAACAGTGAACAATAAATACCCAACGAAATCTTTCAATGCCACAGCCAAATGAGGTTCAAAGGGATGAAACGTTAAGACCTCCGGGGAATGGGGACATCTTGCATGGAATATTTGTGACTCTACTCTACTTTGTACTGCTCGTAGTTGTTCTTCTTTTGCTTCGCGTCTATGTCTTTTGTTTCTTAGATACCTGAATGTTCAAGATTGCAATATTATTTGGTAATAAAAGTGCTTGTACAAGATTCCACAGTATTATCAGACTTACCTCCACTCTCTTTCGTAATGAGCTCTGCTTTCCATGTCATTCATTGATTCAGTTTCAATTTCTACACTGACAGGTTGAGCAAACTGAGCGCAACTCCATTCGACGAACTGTGAAGTTGTTAGTGGTGTTTTGATTCCAGCTACTTCGTCAGCTTCCTCTGATATCTGTAATAAAAATATGAAATATGCGAGGACAAGCATTTCTATCTTATAGAAATTATTGAGAAAGTCAGAAAACAACTCCAATGGGATATTACTAAAGGAATATTTTAATCTACAACTCAAACAATTCATATATTTAATATTTGTTAGGCGGAATGTCTTCTATATATTTATTAGTCTTTATCTTTTTATAAATATGAAATGTAATGTATATAACTAAGAAATTTGTTCACACGTAGAGTATTTGCACCCTTGAAGAAGCAATTAGCAGTTAAACTTTAAAACTATATTTTTATTTTCAAAATGGTGGACAATATAGCAAGGATTTTCGATATCAGTATCTAACTCGGAAACCAGAATTTCATACTGCTCAGTACATTCAATATACTTTTTACATTTTATAAAAAAAACATTTGTTTTTTAATATAACATTCTGAACACTTCCTATAAAGACAAGTAGTTGTAGACTACTCGAGTTCGAAAATGAATATATGAACTTTCTTAATGTTTTTGCGTCTTCCAACCACTAATGGAAATAAATCTCACATATTAATGAAATATTTTTTATAAAAATAAGTACAATTTTATTCTTACCGTATTAGGAATTGGTTTCCTTGATCGAGTGGTGTGTGACGGTAGTCTCGAGGAACGCAAGAGATCTGTTCCAGAATTTACTGTGGGCGGTGATTCCCCTTTGCTATTGCTTAATTTAATGGAAATAGATAAAATGAAATTGTTCATAAATAGTATGAAATTAATTGTACATCAACTAACCTTAAGTAAGTTGTGCGATTCGACGGAGACGGTGGAAGAGACAACGACGATGTTTTCATTTCAATTCCTTCTTTCGGTATGGCAGATTCTTTCACCTGCAAGAAGAAGCGTTACATCGTTTTTCGGAGGAATTTTCATAGTGAAAGAATAGGTGTATTTACACGAACGTTCCAATCTGTCAATGTTACACATCAAACTGAGAGGATAGGTTAAAATTGACAGATTGGAACGTCCGTGCAAATACGTCTTTTAAAGCGTCCATTCTAAACCGGCGTGCGAGCCGGGAGCGAACGTGTAAATGTACCTAATGTCACAGTAATATATATATATGTTACTAATGAACCATATTTACTTGGTTTCGAATGTGATTAGTCACTTTTTGAGACATAGCAGCAACCGCAGGATGAGGATCATTGTCAAGGTTGCACAGCCCATGCCATAGTTTCATGTAAACACTACCATAGGAAAGACTTGGTAAATTTCCCAGCGAACTGTGTCCTATAATCAAAACAAGAATTCATTACATTCTCCGTTGAACATTAACCACACCCAAATTGTACGATATAATGTGCTTCTAGACAATAGAACAATGAAATCAGCATTAGCAAAGTATAAACGAATATCTAAAAATGAAAGATGAACTATGTACGAACATGCAATGGAATTTCCAATCATTATTACCAAGTGACTCGCAAGGTTTCCTCACGAACTCCCAATTATTTCCTGGCACACGAATGAAACAATATAAGGAATTGTTATCCAGAATCCGACAGTAGAAAGCTGGTAACTCTAATCAGACCCGAGGCACAGTTACTTACCTAAACTACTAATAGACGATGAAGACGACACTCTCTTAATACGATCCCCTCCAAATCCATCCGTACTGTCTACGCTGTACGTGTTATTAGGAGAGAGCATTTTTAATCTATCCCTGGAACTAATGCGTCTCATTCCACTAAACGGCGAGAATGTTTCGACGACAAGGTCTTTACGGCTATTTTCTTCGGCCAAAGCTAAAGTTACAAAGGAATTCTCGAAGTGTAAAACCATCCATTGAAGCGCTACTACTAATTCCTGTAAAGCGATTCATATTGTGCGTTTGCATTAAAACGATCGTATCTATATATACAGGGTGTCCCACGCAACTGGAACAGGCTGTACCTCAAACAGTTGGGAATAGAAGATGTTATAAGTAAAAGTTAAATGGTATCAGACGGTGCATAATATGCAACTAATTTTATGCACTTTTGTGCATCGGTGCATCAGAAAAATGCAACTGCACTTTTTTTTAAAATGGAAACCTATGTTTTTGACTACACTAATCGATGCAGTTTCTTGTGCTCTACATAAAAGTACTAACATACTTATGCCCTAAACTTATTCGTTAGGAAGTTATCGAAGGTAAAAGTTCTCTGACTTATTTCGGTCTCTCGGCAAGTGTTCCGGAGTACCTTCATTATATTCCATTACAATGTTTGTAAACATGAAGCTTCGATAACGTCCTCACGACTAAGTTTAGGGCATAAGTATGTTAGTACTTTTATGTAGAGCATAAGAAACTGCATCGATTGGTGCAGTCAAAAACATAGGTTTCCATTTAAAAAAAAAGTGCAGTTGCATTTTTCTGATGCACCGATGCACAAAAGTACATAAAATTAATTGCATATTATGCACCGTCTGATACCATTTAACTTTTACTCATAACATCTTCTTCTATTCCCAACCGTTTAGGAGGTAAGCCTGTTCCAGTTCCGTGGGACACCCTGTATATACTGTAATTGTACTCAATTATGTAACAAACTCACATACTTTTCTAACTAAAGGGCACATGTCGTGAGATACAGTATTAATCAGCGTTATAGCGATGATCTGATCGATATTATTTGCATGTTCGCTTCGTGTTGTAACACTATTTACGAATGTGCCCAAAGCGTAAACACTAGCTGCTCGAACCTACGATAATTTTACAGTTAATTAGTATCGTTCGATGCAAGGTGACACGTGAATCACAAGAATAAAATTATATATTCATTTTTTACCTCAGGAACTGAATCCCTTAATAACGTAAACAGTTTCTCGTGTGCGATATCTCGAACGCCACACCACCTCGCTTTGTCATAATTATGCCAAAGCCTCGCAAGACATAAGCACAGCCATTGACGTAACAACGAGTTCGAATCCCCAAGTTGTTCCAGACAAATCGAAACAAGGCTACCGTGATTAGCAGCCACCTGACCTTGCCGGTAATCGTTCACGATACTGGCCAATACAAATGCCGCTAACGTTCTGTATTCGCTCTAAAATAGAACGAAGCAAAGTCATATAAAAAGATTGCACTTTTCGAAATCTTCTCGATGAATAGAATGGAATACGACAATACCGGGACAGAAGTATCTTGAAGGACAGATAAAAAATACTTGTGCCCTCCGTCTCGTACGAGATCTCCTTGACATGTCTGTAAATACATACACAGTGTGTAAATTCATTCGAAATGGTTGTTCAATAAGAGTGTAAATTATGTTTTCAAGCGTAAGAAATTGAAACTTACACTGTCAACCGCAAGAATTTTCGCCCAGATAAAAACAAGCAGGGGACGTAATTCCCTGGCGTTGCTCTGAAGTAATTTCAGAACGTATGGAAATATGCCTACGCTAAGAGCCAGGTTTACCGCCCACGGGCCGAGATCAAGAAAACGCCCTAATAATTCTAACGCCCTTAGTCTATGTACTTGACTTAACAGGACTTGAAGTACTATTGGCAGTTGTTCCGGAGGGTTACGATTCTTCGAACCCAGAGTGAGCCATACTTGGAAGGCTGTCAGTTGTTCTTCGAAGAAAGGTGAGTGCACAAACTGATCTTCGTTTTCTAGAATAGACGGTAATTGTGCTAAACAGAGATCAAGTGCCAAGTCCCATGCTTGCCACATAGGATGCTAGATTCATAGGAAAAATCGATTAATTGATGAAATAACAGTCACGAATATTTAATAATACGACAATTATACGAAGTTGTGTTTACCTGAAAAGTTGGTGGTAACTTTGGACAAGAAACTGGAGTGCAATCGTACGATCGAAGTATCCTTTCAGCGAGTAAAAAGTTTCGAAACAAACTAGCAACTAATAAATCTTGTCTGAATAATCTCTGGAATAAATCTAGAAAATCAAATATATTTATTGTATACTACTTTTTGTTCGACGTTTTGATTACATGGAAATAACTATGAAGCAACAATTTACCTCTTGGCAAAGTGTTCCATGCTATCGTGTCGGTAATTGCTGTAAATATCCAATTAAGTTCTCCTAACATTGTTCTTCTATCGGTTAATTGTCCTGGAATTCTGAAATTTATTTCATTTATCTTGCAACAGAAACCATTTCCAATGCTATATTTCAGAGAGATTCTTATTCTAGGAAATAATACGATCTTCCTTCAGTCAGAATGTAACCATGCGTATAGATTATACAACTACCTGCAGCTTACTCAAATATTAATAATTAACATTTTGTTTGTCGTCTCTTTTAAAACTTTATAGTGAACTTCTGTAATCTCCGAGAATTATCAAACTTCCAGGCTACAACCGTTTCTGTTATCTAGTTACATTCTGAATGAAAAGTATAAATTATGCTTATCGTTATATAGTTCTGGAAATGTTTAGAATGTTCTTACTTGTCGATTAAATCTAATGATATTTTCGGTACCAACTTCGACGTATTTTGCATCACAAACCTGCATAAATTAAAAAAAACAAATCAGTTCTTTAAGAAGAATGAACTATTCGCAATATTTGTTTTTATATCCTTACCATCGCAATGCGATCTTTATCGGAGTTGTAAGACACGAGGTAAATATATCAGCAGGTAGATCTGGATTCATAGGTAAAATCTGATTAGCTGCGCATGCTGCTAATTGAATACAATTTTTGTACGATGGTACAGTGGTGCTTCCGAATGTAGTGACCCCAGTGGCACGATTCTGTTGCACCGCCTGTTTTTCCATCTGGGAAGCAACATTTCGAATATATTTACGCCTAACCATTACCTTCAACAAAATATTTACAGGATTTTTCTACCTCGTATTCCTTCTCATGTTGTTCTGCAAACTGCTGAAAAGACTCTACAATAATACCTGCGTTAGAGCAATCGTATACGTAGATACTAGGAGCTCCCATCCATGTCTGTAAGTCATATACAGACAAAGGAATGTATTGCGTGTACGTCTATAAAAAGAATTCTGTGTTGAAGCATTTCCCCGAAATGATTAAATTATGAAACAATTCTATTGGCATAGACAAAGTCAAATGGCTCTTTTTAACTAAATGTTATAACAAATGAGTACCTTAGAATCGTTCCTTAAATTTGATTTTATTAACGACTAATAAAGATCATATAGTACTTTCTTTGAAACGTAACTATTATATTACAACATGTAAAACATGCAAGATTAAATATGCACGTACTAAAATTGGTAAGTTTATAGAAGGTGACATTTGTTCAATTTTGAAAATTCATGCAACACGTATGTATTCGTGCTGACAATAAGTAAAACTGGAATGTAAGGAACAGACGTATTAGCAAAGTATTATTCATATGTTCGCTGATCCAGAACATTTTCCAATTCGATTATCTGAAACGATACACCATACGAAAAAATTGTATTCTATATATATCTTCGACATATTTACGCATATAGAATAACACTCGTCTTGGTCCACCTATATAATACTAATTACATACTGAATAATTTATACAGTTCACACGTGTCAAATTACAAAAACAAAATAATACATTAATTTCTATACGTTTTCCTACAACATTCTGAATAATACATACAGCTCTACTGGACAAAATGTGTAGCATGAATTTTCAATATATTGATCGCAGAAATATTTGGATTAATATTAATTTTTTCCATTAAACTTTTAGAAGAAACTTTGTATTATACATATACATGTGCTACTAAGATTCAATACAGTTTCCAAAGTATATGGTCTTTATTCTATTTGGCAATCACTGCACTATTTAATAGGAAGAGAAAAACAGTATCTGACTTTATTTATGCGCACAGAGTTGCTTTATACTTTCATTAAAGAAATGTGTTTCTAACCCTATTAAATACCCATATTTCACCGTTACTAGTAGGTTTAGGAACACCATGACCGTTATAATGGAACAATACTCTTTCTTCTTTCGCGTTACGTCTCAAAGAAGTGCATAACTTTTTTACTTCCTCTACAGTAGGATCTAAACTCTGTTTGTAACGAGCTCTTGGCTGCCATCGTTCGTACTGTTTCTGTAAATTGGAACCTATAGTTTCCAAAGCTTTTTGTGGGCTTACCGATAAAGGATCTGTGAAATTAATAGAAACATTAAACGTAAGAAACTTACAAAGTGAATATTTCATTTGCTTTCTGTTGTATCAATCTACACTATAACAATGTAGAATGCTATTTGAAAAAAAGAAAATAAGATTTGAACTGCTTAATGACATTGATAGCTGTATCATCATACAGAATTCAATTCACATGCAAGACGCTAAAATTGAAATATCGAAAAATGAAAAGTGTATAACTTACTGGGGACATTAGTTACGTATAACATGTTAATCTTGATACAATTTGGCATAAAGATAGTACATAGAAAAATATTTGACACGTATTTTTCTTAACTGCTGACATTCATATATAGGGATTTAAAATAGCCCCTGATATTTGAGGTGAAAAACATATTTTCCTTAATATCTCGTAAACTATTCGATATAGAAAAAATATTTGTTAACAAAAACTTATATTCTTTAATAGTTAAAATAACTACATAAGCAGTTTTTCGAAATACCAATTTGTTTAAGAAATATATCGAAAATTAGTAACTTTTTGCATATTTTTCTTGCTAATTGTTGTTCCATTTTCCATAGATTTATTAAGAGAAATTGTAGACCGATATTACAAGGAAAAATATTACAACCTTATGCTTAATGTATTCCTACCGTTTCAGCCCTTAAACTTTAAACTAAAAATTTTAAGGAACTCATATTTCTTTTATTGGTCTACAGTTTCTCTTAACAAATCTACGGGAAAATGGAACAACAGTTAATAAGAAAAATATCCAAAATGTTACGAATCTTCAATATATTTGTTAAACAAATTGGTATTTCGAAAAACTGCTGATGTAGTTATTTTTACCGTTAAACGACACAAATTTTTGTTAATAAATATTCTCTATGTCGAATAATTTACGAGATATTCAGGAAAATGTTTTTTTCACACCAAATTTAAGGGCTGTTTTGACCCCCTAGATATGAATGTCAGCAGTTAAGAAAATATTTTTCAATGACTACCTCTTCGCCAAAATCTGTAAAAATCGGCGGCGATTACACTTAAATGATACCCCCGGTTAGATCTTTTTCATAATCCCCGATACAAATAAGAACAAAACACAGAAAATTCGAATTAATGATAAATTTAGCGCCACCTAGTAGCTATCATCCAAAGTGACATTCATTTAGGAACTGTTGTCATACGCATGCATAACCTCAAAATTCCATTATATAATGGGAATGGCAGCGGGAATTGTGGGATGTAAATAAACCAGAATAAATACCTATCCAACACTCGAGGCGAGCGCATGGTTGCGTCTTGACAATGTCCGGCGGATCGACGCCGACGTTTAAACACAAAACTAGAGCCACGCTCACGGTTTTCATCTAGAAAAAAACGATTAATTCGAGAAACCATCGCGTGGAATTAAATACGTAGTTCTCCGAGATCGCGACAACCGAGCTCGAATATAAGGAGGAAAAAAAACAAACCCGTTCTTTCATTCTCCATGTCTGTGTGATACAGTTGACGCCCTCGATCGTCGCCGTGTGCCGCGGCTTGCAAAACGCGAGCTGTATTTTCCAATCGTCCTCCTCTGTCAACTTCGAATTCTCTTCCTCGTGGCATGGCTTCGAGGCAGTTACTGACATTGTACGCCCGTGACTTGGAAAAAGTTTCTGTCGTGATTTTACGAGGGACACGCGTCAGTTACGAATGATTCACCACCGATATCATGTGACCGTGAATTCGAGCTATCAACTGACAATATTCAATAGCCAACAAACGCACAAATATATTTTAACGGAGCACAGTTTCGTAAGTTTACTTCATCGGCCGCCATCTTACTCTCACGGCGTTACCAATAAACTCTTGCGAAGCGTAGAGATCATTTGATCGTAAAGGAGCATCCAGATAGCGTCGTTTATTACCCGCGTTATTTAAAACTTTTCAACTACGTTTGAATAATGGTACAAACCAATGGCGGGGAAAATAGTGTTTCAAGGAAACCACTAAATGTTTACGTAGTGTACGGCAGTAATGATGGCAGAAATATATATATGAGCTGATTCCTTGTGCAAAAGTAAATCTAAAACATAAAATTAATATTTCTATTTAAAGCTTTGGTTTCGAGAAAATATGATTTGAATAATGGCTAAATTTATATGCTACTCAATATGACATATGAATGACGTATCTATTCTTTTCTTAATGTATTTACTTCTTGTACATAATAATGATGACAATCAGACGTACATGTACAGACACCTCTCGATTATCGTCCCAAACTCGGGTTCGCGCTGGGACAATAATCAAATAGGGAGAAATGTTTCAGACCCTTGTAAATTGATTTTTTTCCCGAAATCGGAGCGTCGGCAACAAAAGCAGAGGGCCAACAAAGTATGCGCTTCACAGGTTTCATGCCCCCCCTTCCAGTGGTGGGGATAACGCCTGGACAATAATCATGTAGAACAAGGAAGATAATAATCGAGAGGATTCTGTATTAAGTGAATTTTCAAAGTCAACCTTCTCGAAAACCAAACTATACCCTATTTCAAGAAATAAATTATTCCTTATTTGATGAGACGTTTATTTATTACTTGATTTTGGTAAAAATAACTAATTACACAATATACAGTGTATTATATTATTATTTCCATAAATAATTATAAGCCTTTATGTGGTAATCATCAGCTTGGACTCGACTTTCCCGTCGGTTAACGAATCAAAGGAAATCGAGTCTAGCTTGGCTCAGTTTGAATATGTTTGTGGATCCACTCCCATGGATCATAAAGGATTTACTTCAAATTGACCGTGTATGCTTTGGCTCGATTAGTCAATATGCGCTCACTAAACAATTTTGTTGAAGTTTGTTGCTAACAATTTGTCAAAGTTTGTTGAGCCTACAGATGAGTTTCGCGCCATTGGAATTCAACCTAAAGAGTGTTCAATTGATAAGATATTGAAGAATAAGTATGCATTCAATACGATGAATGTTTCTGTTGAACAATATATTGAAATAATTAAAAATTCTATTTCTTCGTGACAACTTCTATCCCTTCGAAATAACAAAATCCTTTCCTACAAACTTTTTCGAATTCATTACAAACGAAGATAATTGAAGATGCTGAAGTTGGGTGATACAGGATTTCACGAATTCAGAGAATATAACTGTTCCCATTTAGAATATCCTTGCTATTTTGAGAGCTCTGACAAGATTTTGTTTATACACGTTGTACACGATATCAACAGACCAGACCGGCGATACTTTCATTTTTTTATATGGTATGCTATACTGAGTTTTTTTTATTGCAATAGCATACCGAGATAGCACATGACGCCTTAAAGACGTCTATTTTAGGTCTAAGGCGCCTTTACCTACTACAAATTTATTACAACACGATTGCTAGCATACGTATTACATCCCTCTTGATATCATGCAAGTTTTATAAAGAATACTTGTTTGAATCTTTAGAAATAACGAAGTTTAAAGTGGACAAATTTATTGTCTCACCCTAAATAAATTGAATCATGACCAAGTTCTTTATGACTTAACCCAATACTACGAAGTTTTATATTTCAAACGTTATTTGCTGAATCAGTTTGGTATTTGAAATTATTCGTATTTCAAATGAATGGATATATTCCGTATTAATAATTTAATAATAATAGACCGAAATATTATTTCTTATTTTCATTTCCAATAAATTTACCAGATTCGTTTAAAAGCAAATAAAATAAACTAAAAGTAAAAGGGGAAATTTTTACAAGAACAGATTTATTCGTTAAATACTAATTAACAAATTGTTATAACTAAAAGCCTTATTCTTTGATTTTTGTAGTATATTTTACCTAAATAATTTATATTATAATATACTCTATTTAGATCAACAGTTCTGAACCTGTAGACTGAGAGAAAGCATGTGATATTTGTTACTATGACGCAATACACGCATCATAAGAACAAAGAAGAAAAACAAAGACTTAAACCTTGGGGGTTCACGACAATTTCTTTTTTTTAAGGGCGTCCATGGTAAGCATAATGTTAAGAACTGCTGTTCTAGATACATGTAATACTATGTACGTATACATGTGTGTGTAAGCACACACACGATGCGTGCATGCGCACATGTGCGTGTAAAAGTATTTACATACAAAAGAAACTTGTATTATTATATTACTCATATACATTAACATACTTTCCTATTTTACCAATTTTCTTTAAAAATTAATCTGTATACATATTCAGAAGACACTTCTAGTATAAGAATCATGATTGATAAATCCAATCTAAAATAATTAAATCGATTATAAACACGTAGTACATATCTCTTAGAATTTTACAGAACTTTAAAATCACAATTCTAAAAAAGAACATCCAAATTTCACATTCATAAAATGTCAAAGACGACATTGATATTCCCTTGCAAACTATAGTTCACAGCCTACATATATACAATCTTTACTTGTTTTGCTATATACAATCTTGTTTCCATCCATGAACTGTTCAGATGCACATTAAGTTACGTGACCACGTGAATCTTCAGATTATGTTTTATTTAATACCTAAAAATACTGTACGATATAATACCAAGAACCATTTTACAATTCATTTTAGTCAGTTCCCCGCTTTAGTTTCATTGTATCTTCTGTAAGTTTTATAATGTTTATTCGATAATTTTATATTTTTCCACTTCCAAAATCATTGAAGAGGTTCAGGATTACTGAGATGCTTGTAACCCTGAAAGGAAATTCGTAAAACTTCAATGAATTATTTTCGACGAATTATGATCTCTAATACAATATATTCTACCATGTAACAATATGCATGCTATCTTTAACAATTTAGATTGCGGATATTCATGCAAACACAAATTTTTATACACTACTTTGCAAAAATTGGAATCGAATAGAAATTAATTTTTTTAGAGTTTCATCAGATTTCAAAGTAAAAAAAAAAACTTTTAACTACACCAAGTTTTAGGCATACATATATACTATAAACATATGAAATCCGCAGTCTGAATTCCACAGAGAAACAAGATAAGAAAAAAGAAGGACCTGTTTAAGCTGGTATGAATCCGTGAAAACAACACATGATGCAAAAATGACCCGGCATTCGGTGTGCAAGTGTTAATTAATGTGTTAAAACAAAGAAAAAACAATGAGATTGATTCCTTGCAAAGTGCAATGGAAATTCCAAATGGCAATCAAAGGTTACATAGTTTGCACAATTTGTACTTGTTAGTGATTCATGCTGCCATAATAGGGTCGGCGTACACTTATCCGTTTGTTTCCTGGTCTTATGGTGTTATTAAATGAATCTCGTAATCGTTCTGTGAACGTTTTGTATTCCATCTCCGGATTACTTTGACCAAAATCAAAGTCTGCAACTTCCACTGTAAATCTTGCCCTGCTCTGTATATAATACGCAATGCCGAAAACAATTAGGACTACAGCGGCAAGTGAACAAGAGACAGGCACAACGATCACTGATAATTGTGGTTTTGTAGTCACTGTAACATACAATGCATGCGTATAAAAATCCTTGAATTTCATAATTAAATAATAACGCAATGCTAATATTTCCAATGGCATACCTTTGTAAATGTTTATTGTCAAAGGATAGATTTGTTTGCTGACATCATTATTCATTATAATTAATATTGTGTACACACTGGGCTCCAAAAAATAATGAATGATTGAGAAATTACAAGAATTCAACTGAACAACACTGTCACACGTTTCATTACCAGTGACATTGTACTTTCCTCGCTGAAAGTGAAGGCACTTGTAAAAAGGTCCTGAACCTTTACAGGTTACATTCAGGGACAACATGTCCCACGGTTGAATCCAATTCGTGCCCTCCACTGTTACATTCATTATAGGCGCTACAATTTTACGAAATATAAAATATAACTATTCGCGGTGAACACTCGTTGAAAACCAGTGTGATATATATTGCTTACCACGAACATTAATTCTTTTGGTGAAGTGCCCATAAGTTTTATCAGGATCTGGAGGAATTATAGTCGCATTCGAACAAATATAAGGTACATGAATACTTATGTTGGTAATGTCATTATTTGGCGTGATTGCTGTAGTTAGTACATTAGGAGGTACAGACGTCAACACACTTGTCGATATTGGTTTCTCTGTTACAATAGAATTCGACGACACAGTAGTTACTACTCCTTCTGTAGTAATATTTGATATTGTAACATTTGGTTCGGTTGTAGGAAGTGAGACAGTTGTAGCTGTTGTTGTTATTGGAGGTGGTAGAGTTGTCGGTGGTTCGAATGATGCAACTACTAGTGCTTCTAAAAGGTGCGATACGTCAGGATTTGTGAAATTATAAAGGATGTTCAGATCACTTGTTTGACCGTAATATCTGCAGTCTATAAACCAGTAAGTGGATACTGTTGTCGCTGTCTTCAAATAATCTGCATCTCCTTTGCGTACATTTATCGTCATATTTGCTTCCGATGCTGTAGAAACATATTCATCTCCCACTGTTTTATTAGGTTGTATGATTTCAACATCACCATTAAGAAATTCTACGGAAATATAGTAGATTAGAAACTGTATAACACATAGAAATAACTATAGAATTATCTAAGCTTCTTAACATACCTGTTACATAAAATGAGGTACGAACACTGGTTTTACGTTCCCACCACAGAATTTCTTGCTTGCTAACTACTACCTCCACATCATATATCCCAACGCTATAATTTTCACGTGGATAATTTATACTCCAGTATGTTGTAGTATTTGATGTTCCCTCTGTCTATAAAAAGGCACACAAGTGTACGATATTAAAATTTGAAAAATCGAAATCAAATAACATGTAGCATATCATACACATATTACTAGTAAAATGATTCTGCACGATTTGTTGTTGACAATTGTACCGATAGGGTTAACATGTTATCTTTTACGACCAAGAACTTCAAACACTATTAACAGTGTAATAATACCATGCACAAGCTTATTATTTAAACTTTGATATTATTGTCAATGTATTAATGTAATACCTCCTGGAAATTTAGTTTCTATAATACAAGACTAATGCATTCAATACAATACTTTCTTTAATTTTTCTGCACAGTAAGAAGCAACCTTATTATTACTTCTTTCTATATTCTGATATATATTTTTTTAATTATTGTATGACTCTTCGATAATGCAAATTAAACTAAATTTTTTAAGAAAGCAAATGGTTTCAAGCTGTCAACATGAATTTAAGAAACTATGTGATAAATATATTAAGTAAATTATAGAAACTATTGAATAGAAAATTTTCCAAATAAAATATAATTTTTTTTACAATTATAGGACAAGATACAGTAAATGCATTAAATTAGCTCTCTAAACCAGCATGTATTAATGCAACAAGTCCTAAGTAAAACGTATTACATGCCCAGTCAAGGCTTAGGTCTATGTACAATATCCAATATTAAGGACACCAATTTTTATAGTGAAATTAATAGAAACTGAATTTCAAATGAAACATTTTCTATGGTCATACATGAACTTCACTAGCTTCTCATCTTAAACTCCTGTAAATAAGTATAAAAAATCATTTACATTTACCCAAAAAGGTATATAACTTTGCTGTGTCTTATGCATTGACTATACTTAATTATTACTTAACAAGTCAAACCTGAATATGCAAACACAATATAAAAGAGAAAAAATGCTTCTTTTACTTTGTTTTGCTTCCTCTCACATACACTGTTCTATTATATGCATATATGTGGTTATTATAGTTTTTATATTATAATTGCAACTCAATCTATTTGTTAAAATAAATTGGTTGGTAATAGCGTACAATTCGGTCGGTATCTCCAATTTTCTTCAAACTTTAATGTGTTGAAAGAGGCTCTCTAAAAAGGCAAAACAATCATTTTAAAAAAATGTCGCAAACAATTTTGAAAATCATTATTTTTTACTAAACTAGCTCTAACTAACTCTGATCAGTGTAATGCTTTAAAAATAAACAATTAATCCTCTTTTTTACTGTTTACAGCTCATGTTCTTTCACTTAATCTGCATTTATAGTGATATTTTGGGTTGTGCTAACTTGAAATTAATGGTACTTATAATTGTTTGCGATATTTTGCCTTTTTAGACAACCCCTTTTAACATATTAAAGTTTGAAAAAAATTGGAAATACCAACCGAATTGTACACTATTACCAATCTTTTTTACTGTAGTTTCTACAAAATGACCTACAGAAATGACAATTTGCATAAACATACATAATGCAGTGATTATATGTATCATAATTACTATTGGTAATCCTATGACTCGGCAATATTGATGCTCAAGGATCAAAATATCCAGATCAATGTCAGTATTATGTCAACTCACTGCTATTATCCACATAAAATCAATATTACTGTTAATATTAATAAATATTGTCATACTTACTAATTACATAAAAAACTACTAAAAAATGTATATGAACAATGATAATACTACTGACTGCATAAAATTTACTGTAGAGATACAAGTTTACAATAGTAATTCCTCTCCATAAAATATAAACGAGCTATACTAACCTCGTATTCATGGGGTGATAATGCATTATCTCTCCATTGATACTTAAAAGTACCCGATGGTCTTTCACCATTACTTTCAAAAAAATCAGCTTTAAATGTAATAGTTCCACCTAACACCACAGGGCCATCGTTAGACAATGTAATGTTGTATTTGGCAGCATTAACTGTAACACCAAAAATCACATATTACGCACCTAAGGAACGCGTAATTACAAAATGGAAAGAACAATCGCAATTAAAACGTTGGTCGAAAATACCTGGAAAAGTAGATAGAAGAAACCAAAGAAGACCCCAGGTGAAATGCACTACCTGCATTTTGCGCACAGATAGACGTTACATTTATTTTAAAAAGTGTTTACACTCCGTGAGTTTGTTTTTAATCGATCTGCAATTAAACGTGTATCATAATGGCTCTGACTGTAACAGCATCTTGGCATTGATGATAGCCAACTGTATCATTTTTACACACATTTTTCACAACTTATCACATCGATCACAAAATGTATGAGGATGTAAAGAAGTAAGTATTATATAAAGGTTCTTATCATGTTCTACTTCTCCTCTCGTTTTTTGTTACCACCATAAGTATACATGCTCAAATTTGACATTTCACTTCGACACTATGATTCATGACAGATAATGTTCTCTAGATGAAGCCACCATTGTTGAATCATCATCACCCGTGACAAAAATTTCTATGTGATGGGAAGAAATGTATGATTTTACTCGCAAATTGTAAAGAACGTTTAAACTTGGTTAACACGATTATGGCAGTTCCATTCTGGTGAAAAATAAAATAAATTTAAACCAGCGGTGCCCAGTTCGTTTCTTTAGAGATAAGATTGGACATACAGTAGCGGCTTCCACTAGGGGAAAAAGTGGCGTAAGAGAAAGGCCTCCTACCATATGGTAAATTTATTTCAAATACTGAAATAAATGTTGAATCGGATGTTAATTTGGCATAAATTTCATTAATTCGCAATACCAAGTGGTAGGAGGCCGTTTCCCTACGCCATTTTTTTCCCTAGCGCAAGCCGCATTTGTACGCGGGGTACAAATCCGTCCCCCACCATTGTATCGTCCGCCGCTGCCATGGCGGTGAGACACGCGACTAATACGATTGTTTACCGCGAAAAGAATCGCATCGTCTTTTATTTCATGATGTTTTACGACTAGCGCACTGAAATTTTTTGGTTGACAATTATTAACCTTGTTTGAGGTAGTCTCTCGTTAAATCATCGGAAACTAAAGTTGTTTTTAAAAAAAAATAATGCTGCGTATCATGATTTGCCACTGCACGTAGAAACTCGCTGACTATTCTAAGCGCGGGAAACTTTAGAACGATTCTTCGCAAATCACAAAAAATTATATAGTTATATTTTCAAAATCCGAAATTGCAAATGATACAATGAATAGTATATCACAATTAGAAAATCAGGGATTTCTATGTGGATTGATGTTTGTATACAAATATATAGTTATAGCTGACATGACGTACCATCTTAATGGTTTGAGTATATAAAGATACAGGATAGATAAAGTATTTGGACATATAATTGGCTTTTGTAGATGATTGGAGTTGTTCGCGGTGCAGTTTGAAAAAGATTTGTCACATTTTCTTCGTTATAAGGAGCTTAGTGACCAAATTGGCAATATAATATTCTCCCCATTTCGGCAATACATATTACGTAGAGATTTTACAAGAATTTAATAATAAATTTAGAAAAGTCCAAAATAAAACATTTTGAGTGTTCAAATACATGCTTGACCTTCCCTAATAAATCAGTGATTCATCAAGCAAAATTTAAATAAAAAATTATAACTAAAAATTTTAGGAACTGCTCCTTTTTCTAGCCTATAGTATATTCTAATAATACGTTCCTGCAGAAATTACGCGTTTCTTGTGACGTGCAATGACGTGCTTATCTTTAAATGTAACAATATAGTTAGCCGATACGTAAATGATAAGTAGGTTTTCGATATAAATCTGCCACTAATTTTCAATAGATTGTATGTTATCATAAAAAAGATAATTAATTTCATACATACTCGTGTCAAGAAAGAGTAATATCTATAGAATTGTCCTTCAAAAATCTGTTTGACTTATTATATAAAATTTAAAATATTATGCACTTTATACATTACGTTTAATGACAATTAAAAATGTTAACCACGAAAATTTCTTTAAAAATTTTAAGCGTTACTCGTAATACCAAATTTATTTCAGAGTGCAAAGTAATAATTTCAAAACGTTTGTTTTGTCAAGAAACAGCCTGCAAAAATGTTATGTTTCTCGAAGAACAATTGAAAGAAGTTTTTAAATTTAAAAATAGTAACGTTAGTAATTGGATTATTGAGGTTAGTTTTAACAAATTAAAATGTGATTGTCATCTTGGTAGTATAACATTTAAAGAAAGAAAATCAAGTGCTTAAAATACTTTATTGTGTTTACTAATAAAGTGCACGATACCTGTTTTAGATTACTTATTGTGTAAATATATTTTATAATGTCGAATTATAAATCTGTTACTTCAGATTTACTGCTAAATATGTGCAGAGTATTACTGAGCAGGTTGTACAATTCGTAAAAGATCTTATTATCTTGTAACTATGAATTTATATGAATTATTGTAGAGAACAGATAATACCATACCATTGTTATAATACCATACAGTGTTTATAAACTTTAACCAAGTGGAAGTAATTAATAATAAATAGACACAAGAATTAAGCAAAATGCAAGTGCACAAATGTCAATATTAAATTTTTAATATTAATTGAGTTCAAAGCAAAGTATTCCATGAAAAAATTTTTATTCTACAATTTTAACTTATCTTTTTTCACACAGAATGATATCATCTTATGTTCTATTGTCAGTTCGGTAACATCCCATCTATTGAGATTACATTTTCATTGTTGATTTTACTATAAGTAAAAAATGTTTCGGTTGTATAATATATTAATATTAAAGGTCTTTTAGAATAAAGCTCGTACATTATGTATTGGATACTACGATAGTAAAAAAGAAGATAAACAACAACTTTTACGTGCATTAGCAGCTAAGTATGCAGTTCGACATAATGAAATATATAATGTGGCAAAGAAATTGGTTTCTACAGAGGTATGTGTGTTGTTCATTCGTATATCTAATTTTTATGCAGCAACCTGTTTTCTTCAAACTTGGCATCCCATTAACTTTAATAATAATGTATAATTTTGTTTCAGCCTGACAATAAGTTACGCCTACTTTCTTTCGAACGGAACTTAAAAAATATTCTTATACCAGATTATCAATGGCTTTTTCTTATCATTGGGAGACTTGAATGTGGTGTAAAATTTCTTGTCGATTTGAGGACAGATATTTTAGTAAGGAGTTTACAACAATAAAATAGTTGGTACTAATAAAACGAATTTAATTTGAAATTTTATTTCATAAATGTTGCACTCAAAAGAATACGTACAAGAAAACATTTTCCGTGTATGGAAAAATAGATACTAACTTCGTGTATCTGTTAGGAATTTACGAATGACTCTTGCAATTTTTTATTTATTTTTGTATAAATATTTTTGCTAGGACTTAATGTTGGAAACCCAAGAAACAGATGAAAATGTTACGATACAACAGTTAGATAGGACATTACGAGATTTATTCTTACTCTGGTTTTCAGTTGGATTTCTGCATGTAGAGAGAGTAACTTGGCAAACTGCGTGTGACATATTGCAAAAGGTAAACCGTTTTCTGTAATTACTGAACAAATAATTCTAATAGCTATTTAATTTATTTCTCTGTAAAGGTTTCAGATTACGAAGCAATACATCCTGTAAAAAATTGGTTAGACTTGAAACAAAGAGTTGGACCTTATAGGAGATGTTATATATTTACACATCCGTCTATGCCAAGAGAACCTCTTGTTGTGTTACATACAGCATTATGCGATGTAATACCTGGTATGAAATAACTATTATTAAGTTGAACATAATCTAAACAAATTTTGAATAGCATATGGTAGGGTTTCCCAAACTTTTTCTGCAATGGAACACTTCGCAAACCCGGAAATTTTAATAGATCACTTAGCTTATTTTTTAGGTTGGGTAATTCCTACTAGTAAAAATTGAACAAAAATGTTAATAAAACACATTATTTATTTAGTAATTATTCTTAAATATAAAACTATAATATAATATAAACATAAAAATATGAATAAATAAAGCACTTAATGACTTTGATCATAATACTTTTCCAAATTGTCGCGGAACACCTATTCAGGTTCAGCGGAACACTGGTGTTTCGCGAAACACAGTTTGGGAAACCCTGGCATATGATGTTATAATATTGTTTTTTGGTCAAATATATAAAACGTATAAAACGTATCAAATGTATAAAAACGTGACATTCCATATATTACATAAATTATACCATCGATATATTATCAATTTGTAGTAACTGTAAAAGGTATTGAAGAAGCAAAAACCAGAATCCTTGGTAATACAAAAAAGGCTATAACATTTCTAGAAGAAGACAAGACTAAAATAAAAGCAGCAATATTTTATTCGATAACTTCTACACAAAAGGGATTACGTGTAAGTAAACCAGACAAATATCGGAAGGTTTAAGTGATATGTAAAAAAAAAATATAATTTTTGCAGGGTATCGAATTAGGTAATTATCTAATAAAGGAAGTGGCGAGCGAAGTAATATCTGAATTTCCTATGATACATGAATTATCAACTTTATCGCCAATACCTAATTTTCGAAGTTGGTTACTTGAAAAATTGAAACAAGGTAACTTTGTACATTAACAAAAGAAATTATTAAAATATACCCTTTCATGCCAGATATTATTTTCTAGATGTATGTTGTATATTTACCGACGGAGAAATTAAATCTATACAAAATGTTACACAAGAAGAGAATATAGTATTTAATTTGAAAAAAATTGTTAATAACTCATTGTGGACCAGTGATGAAGAATTGTGTAAAGTGTTAGAAAAGCCGCTAGTTCGAGCATGTGCTTGGTATTTATATAAAGAAAAACGACGAAACTACGCTTTGAATAATGTTGGTACGTTGATTTTAATTGTAATAATTAAATGAGAATCTCAGACTATGAATTTCATTTTTACAACAGCCAATTTTCATTTGCGCAATGGGGCTGTTCTGTGGAGAATAAATTGGTTGGCTGATCCTTCACCGCGTGGTGTTGCGAATAGTTGTGGTATTATGGTGAACTATAGGTAACAAAATCGTAAATTTAATATAAATTACAATACTCCGTTTATTTCGTAATCTCAAGTTTATATTTTGTCAACAGGTATTACCTAAATGAAAGTGAAAAGAATAGTCAAAATTACATCGAAAATTATTTCATAAATGCTTCTGAAAATATAATCGATCTCTCTGCGCAGCAAGACAAATTATTCAATAAACATTAAAATTACAAAGAAAAAATCAATGGTTTTGGATGGGACAATATACATCTGGTAACATTACACAATACAAAAACTGCTCAGTTGAATCATTTTCTAGTTTAACAATTTGAAATGGAACTGAACCAATATTTATACGTTTCAATGTGAAACACGATTGAAGAAAAAAAACAAAAAACGTTACAAAATGTTTCAAAATTACAAACAAACATTATGTAAATATAATGTTTATAAGAATATGCAAATTTTCGTTGTTAATCAACGAAATTTTCATTAATCTTAGACGTTTATAATTTTTATATACATTACAAAGATGTTAAGTGCCTTTCATTATTTTACATTATTACCATGTACATTAGGCTCATTTCCATTTTCGGTAACAAGCAGTTAATTAAAGATTCATTACTTCTACTCTTCAAATTTTATGTTTTTATTAAAGATTATTACATTTGTTCATTTATACAATAGCTGTTTCCTGTCCAGCTTAAAGACAGCACAATAGTCTGCAAGCAGATCTGAAATAAATATTGATTTTTTATCATTATTGTACAAATATTTTTCGATCGAAACATACAAAAAGAATAAGACAAATTCTGCCCTTTTTTCATCTTTATCTTTAGGTACCTGTAGTCAAGGCTGGGTTGGGTGAAAGTTCGTGGGAAGATGAGGTCTACTTTCTAGTTTTGTATAATCCAAACGAAATTCCTTTGCTACTTTTCTCCAACTTTGCGCATCAAAATAATAATAAGTACCACGTTCGTATGTTGATGTTTTTTCTACATGTCCCAATCCTGGCGCTTGCGTTATCCATACTTTTTCTTCCATATGATATCGCCATTCTCTACTATACCTATATCAATTAAACGAAACAAAGTATTCGTCGAGTCTACATTAAAATAACCAGTACAAAAAGTAATGAATTAAGAAATATTTTTTACTTACAACTCCGCTGCCGCTGCCAATTGCAGGACATCCCCAACATTTGTATAAAACATATAAAATAGTAGATCTTCCTTATACCGATTTAATTTAACTGGCGCTAGTTTATCTCTAGAATCGTAATAATTTGTAAAGTATAAAATCAGAATCGTTCGCCATAGGTGTACCTATTAAATAATAAAAATAAACTGAATTACAACAAGAAATGATACCTGATCGCGGCATTAATAAGATATTCTGGCGGCACGTGAAAATCAATATCCTGAGGTCGGCACGGTGTTTCTGCCCAAGGGCCACCAAAGTTTTGGTAAAGATTTTCAGGCGAATTAAGATTTAATCCTAACGCGGTTAGATCTTGGCCTAATGCCAATGATACTAAATTGGGATCTGTTTCAGCTGCCCTAATAAATGTTAAAAGCCCAATCATTCCAAACTGATCTTTTACCATACTTGCTGGTATATTGGTTACTTTCCCT